AATTTTGTATCATATGATCTGAGAGCCCACATTGCACTTTGCACAAATAAATTAATGATCGAATCTTTCTTCTTATCTTTTAGTTTTGGATAATGTTGCCACCTTCTTCGGCTCCCTCGTCTATTACTGTAAATACTCAACTTTTGCACAAAGATTTCACATCATGTATACGTTTTCCATACAGTGTAAATTTCTTGTTTCTGTGGGTACATTCAGTTTTGGTTTCTTTTGAAGATTTTCTTGTTGGAAGAAGAAAATGTTGGCAATATTCAAGAAGGGTTTGGTAAATCCACCACAGGAATTGAATGGCCCAGTTTCTCCTCAAGCTTCTGTTGGCCTTAAGAATCCCGAGGAGATATTTGATGGTTTTTTATCTGATGCCTGCAAAGGCTGCAATGACTTTTCTATTGGCTTTGGTGATAAGGCATTATTGGCCTATGCCCCACCAGAACCCTCATTCAAGGCACATCAAAGGTGTAACCTAAAAACCACCCCCTTTTCATCTTATGATTTCTGTATTTTCCTTTAGATCATAACATGAAGTGAGAAATCATCCAATCAATCTCTTTTAAGTTTTTGTCTTTTTATTTCTGTTGAAAAATATGTTTTGATAAATGATGACTATGATATTGCAGGTTGTTTTGTGGTGGAAATGACGTGTACTGCATTTTTTGGGGGAGTTTAAACAACTTGTGCGACCTTAACAGGCAATATGGCCTATCAAAGGGTGGTAAAGAGGCCATGTTTGTAATCGAAGCATATCGAACCCGAGAAAATTACACCAAACCATGTCTTTTCTTTTACATTTTAAAAATTCAGGTTTTGGTTGATCCAATATTGACCACATCAACAAGCATAGGCCATATCCCTCATTCGTATAGTGCTTATCATGTCTACCTCTACGCCCACAAACCATTTTTATTTTGAAATGGAGAGAATTCAAGAACCATAGAAATTGTCTAATAACAAATATAAATAGGCAGAGAATTTCATGTATCCACACCGACAAGAAGCCTTATGATAGAAAAATTTTCGTATAAATCGTTAACGATTATTTATCGTCTTATTAATTGATGTCTCTATATTCTCCCCCACACGAATAAAGGTAGGAGTTCATCTCGGGNCGAATAATAAAGGTAGGAGTTCATCTCGGGAGAAGGCAAAAATTGCCGGCGAAATTTTTTGTTGATGGAGGAAATGGGGGCAAGGATTCTCTAAAATGACACTGCAGATCAAGATTGGATTATTCTAAAAATCACATATAATTGTCATCTTTTCCCCACAGGAATTCAATAATAATTTGAAGAATCACAAGTACAAGCATATACTATACTATATCCCTCCTTCATATTGTGCCTATCATGTCTATCTCTAAACCCACAAACCATTTTATTTTGAAATGTATAGAAAATTCAAGAACCTTAGAAATCGTCCAATAACAAATATTAAGCCCATGTTTGAGTCACATTAAAATTTTCATTTTCATTCTTTTACTCATTTTTAACCGCACATTCTTCAATAAAAAAATATTTTCCATTACATGAATAACTTTTCATTTTTTTCAACCACACATTCTCCATCAATCTACTATTCCGAAATATATTCTTCTAAAATAACGTGGGTCAAATATAGCCTAAATAGGCTGAGAATTTCACGTAGCCGTACCACATAAGGGACTTGCAGACTCAGCAAACTGTCATAGTCACCTGTAATTGTGGATAAGACTTCTGACCAATTCCTCGTATCTCCATAATTTTTCCGACATTTTTTTTTCTTAAACCATCTAATCACCCCTAAATAAATTATGATTGTCATCATTATCACTTAATCCTCAAGATTCACAAATCTTAGCAATAAATTGAGATTTAAACCCACAAAACAATTTTGTATCATATGATCTGAGAGTCCACATTGCACTTTGCACAAATAAATTAATGATCGAATCTTTCTTCTTATCTTTTAGTTTTGGATAATGTTGCCACCTTCTTCGGCTCCCCCGTTTATTACTGTAAAAACTCAACTTTTGCACAAAGATTTCACATCATGTATAGTGTATACGTTTTCCATACAGTGTAAATTTCTTGTTTCTGTGGGTACATTCAGTTTGGTTTCTTTTGAAGATTTTCTTGTTGGAAGAAGAAATGTTGGCAATATTCAAGAAGGGTTTGGTAAATCCACCACAGGAATTGAATGGTCCAGTTTCTCCTCAAGCTTCTGTTAGCCTTAAGAATCCTGAGGAGATATTGAATGGTTTTTTATCTGATGCCTGCAATGACTTTTCTATTGGCTTTGGTGATAAGGCATTATTGGCCTATGCCCCACCAGAACCCTCATTCAAGGCACATCAAAGGTGTAACCTAAAAACCAACCCCTTTTCATCTTATGATTTCGAGTTTTGCTCCTTTGCCAGAAGACGGCTGCCCACTTGGATGACCGACCCTCACAATGAGGGTGGGACCGACGTGGGGCCCGGGCAAATAAAAAATGAAAAAAAAAGTCCCCCTCCCCCCCAATGTGAGAAATCTGTCAGGGGGGGTGTCACTCCCCCCCGGCAATGTAGCTCGGTTCTATGATTTCTGTATTTTCCTTTAGATCATAACATGAAGTGAGAAATGATCCAATCAATCTCTTTTAAGTTTTTGTCTTTTTATTTCTGTTGAAAAATATGTTTTGATAAATGATGACTATGATATTGCAGGTTGTTTTGTGGTGTAAATGACGTGTACTGCATTTTTTGGGGGAGTTTGAACAACTTGTGCGACCTTAACAGGCAATAGCCACTATCAAAGGGTGGTAAAGAGGCCATGTTTGTAATCGAAGCATATCGAACCCTCCGAGACCGGGGCCCATACCCAGCCCATGAGGTGCTCAAGGATCTTGAAGGAAGCTTTGGATTTGTGATCTATGATCACAAAGCTGAAACAGTGTTTACTGCCCTTGTAAGCGCAGATCATCCTCCAAAACTTTCTGCAGAATATACAACGTGGGGGATGATTTTTTTTGCCAGTCTTGAATTTTCTTAATGTTAAAAGAATACTAAAAATTTTCTGATTTTGTTGTCGGCAGGCACGATGATGCATTGAAGCTCTTCTGGGGCACATTAGCTGATGGATCTGTTATTATCTCTGATAATGTGGATCTTGTTAAAGCTAGCTGCAGAAAATCATTTGCCCCATTCCCACTAGGTATGTTAAATGGAAAAAGCTGTCTGTACAGCATTAGTGTACAACCTTGTACACAGCTCTCTCACCATCGTGGGCCCCACTATTGTTGTGAGAGAGTTGTGTTACTTGGTGTACACCAGTGTAGTGCTGTACACCAAGCATCTCTCATGTTAAATTCAGTATTCATGATAAAGTTTTATGCTGTCAATCTACGGCAAGCCTCATTGGTGTTTATATAAAATTGGAAAAATTTAAGAAAAATATAGAAATTTGTATTAATATGATTTGTATGTTGTTGTGTGCGCCCCAAACACCAACTTACAAAAAGTAGGAAATTTTTTTGGTATATGTGTAGAATATTTTATTGTGTGAATGTGTAGTTGAAAATTGTTTTATGACAGACCATAAAATAAATTAATGGTTGTCAAACAAGCTCGTAGTTGGATCCAAATAGCAACTTTTCTATTTCAAAAGGTGCTGAGTGAGAATCTCATTTTATCTTAAGATCTTGAATTATTCCCCAAGTACAGGGAATAATTACAGAATTTTTACAAGACAGCAGCATCCTGTACATTTGTGTGTGTGTGTGTTTTTTTTTTTTTAAACTTTGAATCTGTTGATTTCAAATTTCTATATCAATTCTGTACTTATAGACTGATTTTAAGATCTTTGTAGTTCTGGAGACTCTAGCTACACGAGAACTAGAAGTAGAGAGCTCTCCCCAATTATGCATAATCTAACTCAATGTTCGGATGAATGCAGGGTGCATGTACCATAGTGAAAGAGGATTGATGAGCTTTGGGCATTCAATGTTTCATGGTTGATGCCTATTCTAAAGTCAATAGCATGCCAAGGGTTGGGAGTGAAGCTTACTGGGCAACCTTGGGCCAACAAGCTTGATGTTTTAATGCTACAGATCAACACATTACCAACAAACTCAGCCACCCACTTTTTGCTTTATGTGAATTTGATTCTATGTTATTTTCCCTACCCATTTTAGTTTATTTAATTCTCCTCGGCATGTAAATTTGGCAAGTGACTGGAGTTTATTTAAAACCTAATTGAATTATCTTGTGCTCGAGGGTTCCCTTCTTAACAATTATTAACAACATGCTGTTTTAATGATTATTAACGACAATAGCATGGACTTCATTACAATTATCAACATAGCATAACATAATGGCAAAGGTAAAGGTAAAGTATGTAGCAAGTTGGCCTTCAAGACTGTTTCCATCGGCTTGACCATCAAAATCGCATGGCTCACTTTTTCACAAGTAAATAGATATATAATTAATCTCAATAAAATAATTAAAAATAAAAAGGAAAAGGACATGTGCGTAGAAGTCCTCACCCACACCCACACGGTAAGGAAGCAAAAAAAGTCGGTCCAAGGATCAAGGCAGACGAAGTAATCTGTGCATCGTGTGTTCATCTCAGGTTGCAATAAAAAATACTTTGTTTGGCAAACTGATCTCGAAGAAGATACATTTAAGCAACGTTAACTGGCAATTCGGATACTAGTAAAGAAAAAAATACCAGAAAAGAAGAATAAGTATCAAGCTATATATTAATTTCATCAAACAATTAGTACACAAAACCACACATCCCAATTATGAAAGCTCAAAAATTTGAAATGTCTTTAACTACACTATCTTCCACAGCATTGGTATAGCAAACCGGTATGAATGAAATGAAATAAGAACCTTTAGTAGGCAATACTGTGAAGTATAAAATCAAATTGGTGAAATCAGCTAGCAGGATGGTCGTTGGCAGGAGTAACAGATTCTTCAGTTGCAACCGGAGAACCACTAGAAGTTGCCTCTTTTGCAGGTGCATTAGGCGCCTCTTTAGCCACTGATCCGGTTGCCCTACGTCCCACATCTTTCTCATTTTTGACATTTTTTCCGTCTTTGTCGACTTTCCCGTCCTTGGCCGAAGGTGGTGGGGGTGGTAACATATGAGATGGAGGGTTATGCTTCAGCTTCACCAATAAATGGCGCATTCTTGAAAGATCGGTAGGTTTTCCAGGTTTGGGCCCCTGAACGACAATTATTGATGACTTCTTCTCTTGATCCTTCTTCCTTCCCTTCTTCTCAATATTGGGCACCTCATTGGGAATGAGCTCCGCTATAGCTTTCCAGTATTGTTTTTCAGCTTCTTTGTGGAACTTTTCTTGATTGGCAAAGTATAACTGTTCAGTGTAGAAATTTATCAAACCAAATTTGTCAATTCATCAAATGAACAGAAAATCTAGAGTAATTCAAGAAAGATTAACCTTCTCTTTCTCCCTGTTGGTGGTCTTGTTTGTCTCTGCATTAAGCTTTCTCTTCTCATAGAAAGCTTGCTTATACTCTTCACCTTCTTGTATAATTTGAGCTCGTAGCTCTTTTTCCCTGTTCTCCTTCTCTTCAAGTCGAATGGCATTTTGCCTGCACCAGAAAACCATATTTATGCAGTTAACAAGTTGTGAACATCGTTTATCAACAAATTTCATTTCATCTATGCTTTTAAAGACAGGAGGATGGGTTTAAACATGAAGTGTATTGAAATTGCAACAGCTACTCTTTTCATGCACTGAGGAAGGAAAAAGCCTAAACATAAAAAATTGCAATAGACAAGCGTGGGCAGAAGAAAGTTTCAAATCATCTTTGTTCAGATCTGGTTTATCATCCACCAAGTGAAGAGATCAGAATAGACATCAGAAGACCTTGACTTCTATACAGTACAATCAGAATGTTAATTGATGAATAAAAGTCTTCCACATAAGGAGAATTGTTCACAGAACAACTTCAAAACAGCCAACAATGACGAGCGCTTAGTACAAGGCCAAGTTTACGTTATCAACGTTGGCTTAGTATCATAAACTAGTCGTACAAATAATTTATTTTCCAAGACCAACCTAAACTGAGCCTGAGCAGCTTAACTGTATTATATTTAATAGATTCAAACTAAATGAAACAAGCTGAAAAAGTTTGTGAGCTTAGAAGTATGTCGAGCTTAGCACTTTCAACTATTTAGGCAAACTTAGATGAGCTTTGGCCTAGTTCGAAACCTATTGGGGGCATTCTCACTCACAATTCTCAAGCCTATTTACAATCTGATTCTGGTCCATGGAGAAGAAAAAAGGAACAGGAAAAGAATAAAATACAAATGTCACATACACATAAAATCGAAAACATAGTGCTTTTTTGGTTTAAATTTTAAGGTCAAAGTCAAACTTTAATTTTAACCACGCATTTTGTAGGACCCACATCTACCATCCACTTATCCACCACTCATTTCTATCAATTTATAATTTCTCCCAAACAAGCACATAATAGAGGCATGATTGGAAATGTGACTGTCTGGACTCATCTGTACTAGGGCTATATATAGTTGGTTTATGAATCACTGACTTGAGTGTAACTGTTTAAAATCTATTTAGCAGCCTATCATTCAACAAGAAATTTCCAACATAATTGTTTTAACATTTGTCTTGAAGAAAATAACAAAAGAATTGAAACAGGCACCTTTGACACTCTTAACACGGCTCACTTGAAAACAGCCTCAACTTCTACCAGCATTGACCTAAAAACCTACTAAGAACCTGTCATACATAAAATGTTCAGCAGCCAACCCAGGATTAAACAGGTTTTGGTGATGCTTGATAATAACAGATTTTGCTTCTTCCCAAACAACATACCTAAATAGCCAAGATCCAAAATCATACTTGAATAATTCAGCTATATCCTTTAAGTTACACCCAGTAATCTAAATAATCGGATCAAAGTAGAAGAGAAACAGAGAAAAAGACAATTGCATCATTTCTGTAATCTTGTTCTCAGTTTCACCATTTTCTTTCAAAGATTCAGCTCAAGCCAATCAAATGAACCGCTAAAGTATACGAAAGATCAAACTTGAAGTCCAAAAATATACAGACCTCCTCAAAACAAATAAATAAATTGATAGTACAAACCTGATCAGAAAATGAATGAGCAATAGAACGCATCAAATAAAAAATATTCACATAAAAGGTACTAAGCTAGTATGAAAAATCTGACCTCCGCCATTCACGAAGAGCGAAGCCTTCTTCTGATTGCAACTCAGTTGGAGGCGGAAGGATCGGCCCGTCAGAGATAAATATTCCGTCCGCATCTTGGCCAATATCATAAGGTGCCTTCCCGTTGCCATTCGAGAGAGGGACGGATTCGGATTCCGGATTCGACCCAAATCCGAAAGGATCGGAACTGTCCACCGAGTGCGAGACGTGATCCACCGTCACATATTCCGACTCCTCGAACTCCGTAGTATAAGGTGGAGTGTCAGGCATGTTGAAGGCGGCGTAACCCTCGTCGTAAGCAGCGTATCCACCGTCGTTAAATGCACGCGCCGGCGAATCGCCTTCCATGCTAAACGCGTCGAATGATGCCATCCCACCAATCAAAATTTCTCTCTCTAAATCTCTCTATATGCAGTGGAGGAATGATGTTGCAATCAAAGAATTTGAATTTATGGGTCTAACACTATCATCCAAAGTTGGGTAATTTTTATTCACTTTCCTTTTGCTTTTTCTTGTCTTCTGCCATAGGAAGTATTATTTTCCGCATTCTGAAAAGTATTTCTACCTCAGCTCCACTTTCTTTATATTCTGATTCTATTTAGAACAAAGCCTAACAATTTCATTAAAATTTTCCTTCTTTTATAACCACAACTATTTCAAAATATGTTTTTCCTTAAAA